AGATGGCTGAAAATTTTCAGCACATCTGTACCCTAAGAGAAGAAAAAAAAAAAAAAAAAAAACTTGGAAAAGAGAAAGAAGAGAGCAGAAGGTAGACTATGAAATAGCCAAGTCCAGTGAGTCACTGCAAAGCACTAGCAGCGATGAAAAATTCTCTCATGACTACCAGCAGAAGGACTGAGAAAAGTACACGGAGATCTAGCAGAGGAGACAAGTCTGGCGTGTACAACCCAGCAAACAGTTACTGGAGAAAGAGGTTAGTTAACACTTCCTGAGTAGATGGCGACTGCCAAGACAGTTTCCAACACAGTTTTCCACTTTCACTGCATCTTTGTTAGGCAAAGTTTACTGGCAACATCCAGCCCCTGCAATACCCTTGTGCCCTCAAATCCACATTTCTGACATGTATTGGCACAACTACTCTCCATAACTGATATTTTAAAGACAATATCTAATTCAGCTTCAGTAGTAAGCACAAAGCTGAGTCTACACTTGCCACAGAGAAGCATCCAGAAACAATTTAAGACAGAGAGGATTATATTATAATACCACAAAAAAAGTCATAACATGGCTGACTATTACAAAACTACTGAATTATATTTTCCTTATGTATTAGATTTCTCTGATGATAATAGAAATAGGGAAAAAAAAAAAAAAAAAAAAAAAGACCAACAACCACAACAATCCCCAAAAACTTCAAAATAGCTGTGGCAGAAATAGCGTGTTAAATAAAACAGTGCTAACAGTTTTTATAACCCACCTGGATGACTAACTCCTGCACAGGAAACCCTCAAGCACAGTTAACATAGTGAAACACTTCTGAATACCTCCAACTCCCTGGAATTTTCTCAATAATTTTCCACTCTTATAGCCACTGATACCATATCATATCTTTTAATTCAGTTCTTTTAGAATGTGCTTAGCTTCAAAAAAATAAAGTTCAGATTTTCACTTTAGGAGTTATTTTTTCTTCATATGAACAAGTATCCAGGAACTTATGTTTTCATATGAAACATTCTAACAACATCAATAAACACAAGAAAAAAAATTACAGCAAGGGTGGTCAAATACTGCAGCTGGTTGCCCAGAGAAGCTGTGGAGTCTCCAGTCTGGGGAGATATTCAGAGTCCAGCTGGGCATGGCCCAGAGCAGCCTGCTCTAGCTGACCTTGCCCTGAGCAGAGACGTTCAAAACAATCTACAGTGGCCCCTTCCAACCTCAGCTGCTCTGTGATTCTGTAATCATTTTAATTCTTATTTTTTGTCCTTTAAGAAACACAGTTACTTTAACCTTTCCTTGTTTAAGTACATTTTTGGTGCCTGAGTCTAAAATGAGAAATAGTTCAATAAAGAACCACAACCCATTAAAACTCTGATTCAAGGAGAAGACATTGCAGGGGGTTAAGACACTGATATTAGAGCTGTAGCAAGCCAGGCTAAATTCATCATTTTCAGTTTGATCCTCAGGAAGTAATTTAATTTATTTGGGGCAGTGTTCTCCTAACAAAATGGAAATAGTGGCATTTCCCTCACCTTTTATACACTATAAAAAGAATGTGACTATTTCAGAAGTTATTCAGGAAAGTGATGCTGATCCTTTCAGGGTCACACTGAAAACTCAGCAAGGCACAATGGAAAGCATAACATAGTTACTCTATTGATTTTACTAATTACACAATCTACAGGGATTTACCAGAATTATGGATCACCTCCCTCTTTAGGTTAGCTTTTACTGAGAGAAAATATTATGAAACAAAAGACTTCAATCACAGCGGTGAAAAAGCACTTATGTTAATGTGTATTTTATTAACAAAAAAGCTTAGCTTTTGTTGAAAGTTCACTACGTAAAATAAGAGCCTTGCAAAGAAAGAAGAAACAATATAAACAACTGGTATTCTCTTACTGACAAGGCTCATTATTAGAGCAGGTAAGAGAGGACATATGAATCACCTATAGGGCTGTTTCCCAGTTAAAATATTAAGTTAAAATACTAACGGATAGATTATGATCAGAGAAAAAGACCATTTTCTCTTGGGAGGGAGGACAATGTAAGATGGTAGGACTTGAATTCCTTCAATTCACTCTGATTTTTTTTTTTGCTTTTAGTCAGCATTATTTTGTCATTTGTAAAAGTTTGACCACAATCCCCTATTTGCCCTAGTGTTGCCACTTCCTTAAAAACTGGCACTATAAGGCATGAAAAGAAGTGGGAATGTGGAATGAGAATGGCAATCAATCATAAAAGCATGGCCATATATACCTATGTGCGTGGGTGTGAGCAAACGCGTTTAGGATTGGTGAGTAAAACAAGTAATGGGCTCTCCACCCAGCTAACGTGGTTCTCACAACATCCACACGGTGCTTTGCCCCTTTACAAGATCTCCATTAAGTTCTGTGAATAAAAAAGTTCCAAGGCGGGGAAATACATACCCAGTGATGTTCAACCTTCATTCCTGGTGAAGGGAACTGCTAGAGTCATCTTTCTTAACACAGATTTTTTTCAAATGCAATGACTGCAGTCCAGCTGTTCCGAGATGGGGAGGCATATTTTGGAAGAAGGCATTAATGACCTCATTATGTGACACCAACACTGCCATTGGATTAAAAAATATATATATTAAAAAAAAAAAAAAAAAAAAAAAACCTCTTTTGCTATGACTTTAGTCTAGTTCCTGGCTTGCATGTGTATCTTCACCTTGCTGCAATTCCTTATCTTAAAAATGAGCTTCACCTCCTAATATATTCCTTTGGGATACTATTCTGTAGTCCTTCCAAATCAAGAAGTATCTCTAATGGCAGAATGTCTTCTGAGTAAAAGAACATATCCAAGCACTGCCCTCTTACCATAGCAATATTGTTTCCAAAAGTGGGGAAATCCTGAGTACGCAGGTGCTCAACCAAGTCTTTCTCTGCAGATTTTCTCTGTAGATACAGTTTCTATGCAAAAATGACTACAACTGATGCTAAGGTTACTGCACTACTTGAAACTTATAATTAATGTTTCACTGCAAAAATATCCCCAGAATATAGCTTGCAGAATTAATACATATGATTAAAGAGAATCCAGGCCAAGCACATGGCATATTCTTAGCTTCCACTCATGGAAAAAGTCCATGGAGATCTAGTTATTTTACATGAGCAAAGGAGGCTTTGGAAACATCTTAAAAATACAGTTAAATCAAGATTTTATAGTATACTTGGATAAGAAAAGCAGAGATGCTGGGGACGGGGAGAGTGTGGGGCCTATCGAAAAGGTCATAAATAAGCAGCAACAAAGCACCAAAATAACATAAAACCAATACTTTCAGGAATTTCACACTAATGCCAAGAAACAGAATGTACTCTGTGTAACTAATACATTAAAATACTGAAAATAAATTCTAACGGATTAAAAGAGATCTTGTAGCAAGTGAAAGGTATACTTAAACCATTCCAAACCTAATCAAGCTTAGGAGTAGGGCAGTCTTTCCCCATTATTAAGAAGAATGTAAGCCGAGTAAGTAGCCTGGGAAACCTGAAAATTATGGCCAGCATCATTAAGTACAACCTTGTTTACAAATGTGTTTTTAATTAAAAATAAAAAAAGACATTTTTACTGAAGCAATTTGCTGCACATTTTGAAGTTTTGGGTTCTATGGTCTCCCACACACACATACATTTCCAAGAAAACGTTATTAAATTATGATGAACCCAGAATACATTTCTAAATGCAAAATCAAATCCATGGTTTACATGTTTACATTCTGAGATGGAAACACAAAAAATATTTTTAATCCTTGATCACTTAATCCTGTGCTTTGGGGTCAGGAAACACCAGTCCCCCCTGCCAAGCTGAAGTCCAGCCATATGTGCATGTTGTTGTCAGACAAGGGGAGCGCAAGCAAAAGAAAAACTGCACGTTACTTTCAGTCTTCAACTGAGCTTTTAAAATACATAGCAAAATATGTTGCCATGGAAATGTTCTACAAAAACATCGAAAATCTGCTAAGATGGAGGTGAAAATCATTTATGAAAATAAACTTTTCCTACAATATCAAACATAACTGCCTTATGCAGTATCCAAGGGAATCAAAATAGAACTCTTTTAAATGGTTATTATTTATCACTGTAGCTGTTTTTATAAGTGGTAACAGCAGCTCAATTTCATTTTATATTCCATACATGAAATTAGGCCACTATCTTTCTATTTAAAATGCCCATGCATTGGCTTTTACTTACATAGTCTGACTTTCCTATCCATCCTGAGTCCACATCACATGTCAAAGTAGGAGCCTTTCAATAAAGTTGATNGGGGGGGGAAGGAGGCATACTTCAATAAAATGAAATTTGGTTTTAAACAAACAGCATTTTGAGCATTTAAGTTATTAATCTCTTTTACAGCCCATTAGTATTAGTGTCACTGAGTGCAATAATTAAAAAGTGGAGAGTTATCTTGCCAAACTTTCGCTGTTATGTTCAGTGAGCTATTTTTAAAACTGACTTGAAATGAAGAAAAAAAAAATCCACTACTGCAAAATGAAGCAAGATCTGTGCCTGCATTATAGCTCAGTCTGGTTATACAATATGATACGTTGTTTTAAATAACCTGCCACTGTAGGTAAGCAGCAGCCTTGTATTGTGTTTCATAAGACAAATAAACACATTCACACAATAGTATTAAGCATGTCAAGTACAGACAAAGCAAAATAAAATGCAGTACTATCTTCTCATTCTGCTTATACTTTATAGCAAATGTACAGCCTTCTGCCATGACTTAGTTAAAAGAGATTATATTCACAATTAAAAACAAACTGCAGATCTACAGAGAATACCCTTGCATTGTTCAAATAGAAATTAACAGCACATTAAAGGTATACACTGCTCTGCTTATGTAAACAGTCTACCCTTTATGTCCTGTAGCAAATCCAACATGAAGCAATCACACAAAGAGACTATAAATGACCTAAAACTGCAAATCAAAACCTTGTGTTAGAAATATTAGTAGAAACCATGAGGTCATACCTGATGGCTTAGAGACTGTAATGTCTCACCGGTTCCAGGCTGCATAACCTTTCTATTTCCAGAAACCCCCAAAAATTGCATTTCCTGTCTTACAGAAGTATATCACAGATCGTCTATCCTTCAGAATCCTCTGGGCTAGTGAAGAAAGCATTAACAGTCACTCTGTCCATCAGTAACTGCTGAAGACATTACCCTCAAGATATCAGATCTTAAATATAGTTTCCTCCGTGCAATTACAGCCATCCAATAGTCAAGGAGGCTGACACAGCTATATCACGGATGCTGCTAATGCCATCTGAAAACAGTAAGCTTACTGCTTAAAGCAATCCTGCCTCATCCAAACAGAACAAGCCACATCCTTCAGCTCCTCACTTGCGTTTTGCTAAAGCCTAACAGAGCCGTTATAGATTTTGGTTTTAGCTCTGGTCAGCTAAAGGAGAAATTAGACATTATGCAACCAGCTTTGCATTAACAAAAGAAAAACAGCAGATGAAGTGACATATCGAGGTTATCAAATTTTGCTTGCATGACCACTCCTCAGCAAGCAATATCATCATTCAGAAAAAGCATCACAACGTGATGCAAAGGAAAATTACCAGACAGAAATAATAAACAATCCACAAGCAGCAAGGCATTTAAATACCTCTGTGGCACTGAAACAGCTATTTTATGCAGCCTTATGAATCTTAGTCCCTAATAAATTAAAAGCATTGCTTGCCTAACCGGTTTTGGTGCTTATTTTCAAGAAATTGCTCGATCGCTGCATTGTTTCCATTACTCCCTGCTAGCAGCCAGAAAACAGCATGCCTTGAAAATGAGCCAGTATTATGACAGTAAAAATGTGGTTTTATATCAAACAAAACAATCATGCATGGCTTTTTTTCAGATACTAAAGACCTTTCCAGTAAACAAATGTACAGTATCCTCCTTAGTAATTTTTAAATCATTAAAATTACAAAGTAATAAGGGTGATTTTTATTAAAATTAAAAATTGATGCAAGTGCAAATTGAGGTTGATGTTTATAAATCCATTGCTCATATATTGATACTAAAATGGGAACTGGTTTACCAGTAAACTTAAACAGAGAAGAAAATCACTTCTCAGAATTGAGAACTAGTGTGACTGACAAATGCCCACAGTTATTTTTTAACTCTTCTGATTTCTACAACAACCCAAAAATTACTTATGTTGGTAGAGCAAGAAAGTCCTTCTGGAATGTTCAGTCCATCTCTTTAAACACACAGAAGAGGATCCTCAACAGCTTTTTAAGTGTATTGCTACTATATATATATATATACACATACATACACACACACACACACTGTATATACACACACATATATAGGTTGAATTTTACAAACAAAACTTGGAAAAAAAAACCAAAAACAATAACAAGAATCATGCTGTAATATAACTCTATTTACTCAAATAGTTTCCATTTTACTCCAATGAATTTGGATGTCCTTTATTTTGAAATGTGCGCAGAAGTTGAAACTAGAAGTTAATGGTTCTAAATTAATTCACCCAGATCCTATTTTGTTAGTTTAACACTATTATTATACAGTTGCAGTAATTGCTCTTGAGTAACTTCCAGTTAATCAAGTTTGGCTTATAGTCATTCACATTACGATACTGCAAATAGTGAACTGGTATCTTTATGAATATTACATATATCCCTTTAGAGAAAGAAAATATTGTCAAAGTTTTTTCACTGTACAGGCTGTGCTATTGCCTCAACATTGGGACATTTCACCTATGGTGAAACATAACTGAGCTAGTCACAGATCCTACAGAGTCTCCGGTGATGTTTGCCTTGGTGTGCAGAACGCCTGGCTGCTCCAGCCATCTTCAGTAACAGATGCTAATTAGTGAAGCCCTAGGAAGCTCTGAAGTGCACTAGGGAACCAGATCAGGCCACACTTGACACTGCTTTCCTCATTCTCTGAGCCAATACACCTAGGGGCATAACCCTGATATTGTCGTTTTAACGCTGATGGCGGTGGCAGTCAGGGGGCCACTTCAATCATTGCAGGTATTCTTGAAAGCTGCCACTTTCAAACTTCTTCCAAAAGAAATTGTGAATTTTCTTCCAAACAAAATCAGTTTCTAAATCTATGTGCACAGAATATAAAAACATATACACAAACAATCCTTCTGAAAAATGGGAAGACTGACTCATCAGTAAAAGAAGAGGAAAATAGTTTGCCCCAGATCAGTATAAATTAGGATTTAGGATCCCAAAGTAATGTTTTTATTTCTGAAGGTAATTTTCAGAAAGTTAGAGCATTACTATATTGCTTTTTCCTATGCAAACACTCACTTCCACAACACTCTGACTAGCAGCTTACTCATACATAAGAGCACAAAACCTTCTCTGTACATTGCTGACCACCTCTGTAACTCTCCACAAGGCACCCTCCAAAATACAGACGTAAGCAAGATAAGTGAAAGATGTAAAAGAACATGGCTGAAGAAACAAAATATGTTGCCAACTTGTCTTTCATAGATATTACGTAAGTCTTCCCTGTCCAAAGCTTCTATTCCATGATGAAGCTTAGCCTATCAAGAGGTTTACAAGCCCATTTTGAAGAATGAAAAATGCAAAGGTAGCAGTGGTAATCACAGATGGCAGATACATCATGTGGAGCTTCTGTTCACAAGGAATATATTCTCTCTGGACATTTGGACATTGAAGGATTTGGGAGCTATCAAGAGACAAGATAGAAGAACACTTTCCTCAGTTATGTTCTCAGCTCAAGCTATAAAGGCCATTTAGAAGAAGAATAATAACTAATAATATTTCAGATAATAGCATGCATTCCCAAAAGTTATTTTACATTTTTTTTCAAGGCAATCTAATTACAAGTTTGCAAAAAGTTAAAGTTTTAACATTTCATTAGCGATGCTAAAATACAGAGAGGTATTAACACAGGATCATTTTTAATAGTATTGATATTTATTCAGAGAGATGTTAAAGAAAAAAAGCTGATAGTCCATTACCTTTGGAATGTCAACGCCTATCATTTTATATCACACAAAACTGTTACTCACAATATATAATTTACTTTTGTTCCATTTTTCTTCACAGAAAAAAAAAATCGAGAAAAAAATAAAATTCTGAATTCCTATGGATTATACAAGGTGGAATGATGGTCACCTTGAATTTAACACAAATCAGCTTCACACCAACAAGACCTGTCAGCCAGCAAGCACCAGAAGATCTATTACTCAATGCTTTCAAGTACGTTTATGTTTGCTAGCACGGAGGATAAGATCAGGGAAAGGTACTGAAGTCTCTATGAATAAGCCAAGCTAATGCAGGGTTGTGCTGAAAGAGCTGGAAGAACAATACTACCTTGGGCTAAGCTGGAATATTTATTGACAATCCTACATTTATGGAGTAGCATACAAAATGAATGGTCATTGATAAAATATTTTTTAAAAATGAGGAAAAATAAAAATCTCTCAAAACTTTTCAATCATATGCTTCATTTATTAGCAAAGTATATGGTGTATTCTACAAAATTATTCGTAAAATCCTATGCAAATAAATTTTCAGTGTTTATGTGAACAGATTATATATAAATGAACTTGCCTTCCTCCCAGACTTTAAGGAAAGCAAAGCTTTCCACCATTTTAAGCATCTCTGAAAGAACATTCTCTCTCTATTGACTACAGATATGTCTGGCTAAGGACCTGACCTTCAACTAGTAGAAAAGCTAGAAGAGATTACCAGAAAACACTCCCTATCCTTCAGAAAGGAGAGGATAGAATATGGACTACCTGTTGTAGAAGGAAATAGTAATAGGAATATTTTCCCCACAAATGACAAAATAACACTTGTATCAATATTGCTGAAACCCAGTTAACCAAACAAGTGCTAATAGCCAGTCCACAGATGCAACAACAGGACAGAGGACAATGCACAGAGTTGCTGTACATATTGTTGGTATCTCCCAAATATAACACACGAGAGAAGCTGCAGTCTAGTTATATTCTTTACCTCATGCCTTTCTTTCCTGTTGATCCTTTTCATCTCTTCTTTGTCCCTGAATATGAAGGAAAAAATCTTTTTGCTTTAGAAAATTTGTCAGTTCAATAATCCCAGCATCTTACCAGTCTCAGAATAGATCTGACTTTTCTAAATATTTTGCATTAAAAAGTTCTTTTTCAAGGAAGAAAAATGTTACATTTTGACATATAATTACCATTATCCTCTCAGTGAGCAGAAAGGATGGCAGAAGGCCAGCTTCCTTGCCTGCTACAGATAAGATATTTGCAAGCTCCCATCTTTCGCTTTAGAAAAAACAGAAGGGGAATACCAGCCAGGAGAAAGTCTACTCTGTCAATTTATCCTGTAAGAAATAAAATTAATATTCCCCTAGTAAAAAACACTTTCTTCAGAGCCTGAGATATGCCTAGCCATATGTTATGACGGTCCTTTGAAGGATGACAAATTTGATGAATTTCTCCTGAATGGTTTCTCTTGTCCAGTCTCTTCTCATCACCTCCAGCTTCTGCTTCAGGCAAGTGCTCAAGAGTCATAAATCAGCACTGTACAAGTTCTACCAACTTGGGAATGAGCTCCTTTGATTTCAGCCCTAACACAAAAAAAAAGTGTCTGTGCATTCTTCAATAATCTCTCTGATCTTTGTAGAGCTTCAAGAATTATTGCTAAATTTCTACCCTGATACACTACTCATTGCGAGCAGAGAACCCAATCGTTATCATTAAAGGAAGAGGAAAGTTGAAATCACAACATATTCGGAACTAGCTCTAAATCAGGATGAAACTCTGATTTAGTTCAACTAGAAATAAAAATAAATAAGAGGTTCAAACATGTTTCTTCCCTGTATATAAAAACATCTGTATATTGTTCCTTTGAACACAATTTCAGCTGTGATAAGTATATGTTTTAAGCAGTCAGCATGGCTGAATACCTTTGTGAATCCCCAGATACCAGTTTGTTTCCATGTCATTTGTGCACTACAGTTCTTTCAAAGTTTGTTTTTTATTAGCAGAATATAGACAGTCAAGAGATATATATGTAAGCACATATATACATACACATTCACTCATACACATATAAAGTTTTGTTCACTACAGAATATATTAATTCTAAACCAAAATTATTATAAAGATTGGTTTTAATCCATATTACTCTTTTAACACCTATCCAAAAAGAAAGCTACTGGAGACAACAACTTCATCCATATTTTGCAGGTTGCTTTAAACATTTCAGCCATGTAAGTCTAACA